TTGAAGTGTTAGGTCTCATACTTACCCTTTAACAAACGAGTTCGTCATTCCAGCAGCTCTCAGCGTGGGCAAGTTCTTGGCCCCAACTATCATAACCTGAAGCTGGCAGTTAGGAACTCCTTGGTCTTTTTTTCCTGAAACAGGAGCATTTATCACATTAAACAACCAGTTAGGTCAGCTGCTAGCCTAAGCTGCTGCTGTAACTAAGTAGGAAAATGCCTAAGCAGTACCCCTGCAGTAAGGACCCACAGTGCTGTATTAGCAGCATTTAAAAGATTTTACCCTGCTTGTACAGTGTATGAGTCACACAAAAAAAAGCAAGCAATGAGTAGCAGGTTGCTTTGTGATTCCTGCTCCAAACACAGAGCTTTCTGTTGTATTTGTGAAAAGTAAACACGGGGCAGTATCCACAGGAGCGTTCCTCTGAAACAAAGCCAGAAGCGGGAAAAACAGCTCCTCTGTTGCACTGCTAGTTATAGAGCAGAGACCCAGTACACAGGCATGCATAGGGAGGGGGAAAAAATGGAAGCAAGCAAGCTGGCAACTTTGGGCTCATCTGGAAAAGAAAATGGAAAAAAATTCAGTTGGTCTCTACCTGTTGCTATGATCCTGAATGCAGAGAGCACTACTAGAGCCCTGAACATCTGCATACCTCACTGTGATCTAGGGAGGTAAGGGAAATGAGGTTGTCCTATCCCCCCTGCCCAGAGTGTTTATTTTACTCCACCAGCAGGTGCTTGCTCTGACACACTACAGCAATACTTAATGTACCTTACAAGTCTTTCATTACCAAAAACTGAATCCTGACTGTAAATTTTGAGCCCAACATCTTCCAAGTGAAACAATCTCTCTAAAATGAGACCACTGGAGGAAGCCCAAGGGTGCCAGTCTCATACCCTTGCAGCCGTTTCGCTTCCACCTTTTCCCTAAATTGGCAGTATCTGCCTCGGGCAGTAAAATTGCTGCATCACCTCCAGAATAAGGTCTATTGGCAACACCATGACAGGCACAAGCTGTCCAGCCAAACAGCTGGATGCATCCTACTGCTGCCATTATAACGCGCAGCTTTTGTTGGCATTAAAAAGAACAAACAGATGAACTTGGCAAATGTTTGGATTTTAACAAATTTAAAACATAATACACCACAAACTATAGTTTGCAGTAGCTGTTACCAACGCCATAGAGGAATATTATATGGACACATTTTCAGTTCTTCATTGATCTCGATTCTCTTCTAGCCAAGAGAGTCATCATGTATACTGAAACGCTTTATACCTTCAAACTGGAAGTTTGAATACTGGGCTGGTACTGACAGTCTTGCAGACACGAGGAGTTCACTGCTGTACTGGATAAGATCATCTTCAGGCTTTTCAAGCTGAAGAAAGGGACATAGAGAAACCTGCATTACTGCAATCATTCTATTCCACATCATACTTCACAGCTTATTTATGTCTGCAACACATCTCATTAACAGGCTGGACTGACAGCATTCTTCCCTCCATGACTTCAGAAGGCTGATCCTTTTCATAGCTTTCACGACATCCTGCTTTTAAGATACAGCTAAGCACAACAATTAAGAATCACCTTGGGTTTGAGCTGGTACCAGTTGAACAACTGCACCATGTTATCTTCGAAATTCCATGCTGCCAGTGGAATCAGCACTTCCCCTAAAAACACCCTGTATTTGAGCGCTCCTGCGTGCCACACAGAGATCTGAAGCTGCCGACTTCCCAGCTGTGAGTATTCAATCTTGTACTGGAAAGATAAACAGCATTTACAAACCAATACACATGATGAATGCAGGCCCATGCTCATAACCTGCTCAAAGGAAGCCCAGCCGCAGCATGGCTGAAGGCATCTGGATGCAGACAGAACCATGTTGTCTGAACGCGCTTTGCAGTTTGCATATGACCCCGCTACTTAAATGCTAAATAATGCTCATCCAAATATGAAACAACATTCCAGGAATACCTTAGCCTGCCTTGCTAAAGGTTTTGATTATTAACTCAGAACTTTAAATAATTCTTGACTGGGTTTTGGTGGTTTGTTGGGTTTTTTTTTGGTTTGTTTTGGGTTTTTTTGTTTTTGTTTTTATTATTATTATTTCTGTTTTACACTCCCAGCAGAATTTGGCTGCTCTGGAGGTCAGTTCAAGATTAAGACACCTAACAAAGGCGCTAAAACTTCCGTTCTGGTCAGTGGACATCTACTCAATGCAGCCAGCAGGGGCAAGGAAGCAATTCAGCTGACCATGAAATAAAGCCCTAAGCTACTCCCAAAACATAGCTAGAGCCCTTTGAGACATTGCTGGGTATCTAATATACCCACCTGAGACTGGTAAACATGATACCCAGCCTAGAGGTGACCTGCAGCCTCCTGGACTGAAAACTGGAGGTGATGACATGGATGAGGACATTGTTGCCCACATTTAAGCTGCAAACCACAAACTGGGCGTAGGCTCTGGGGCAAATCACCCTGAATCACCCTGGGCTCCAGTGATTCCCAAGAGCACTTACACACCTCTCACATGCAACTATCTAAATGCAGGCACCTTCATTTGCAGCTAAATCCCACTGAGTTGGATCTCAGCATCACTGTGTAGTTCACCTGCACTAGCTGCTACTCTGGATGAACTAATAATTAAACTAATTTAAAAGACTTCTAACTAAACTACCTTTAGCATTCATGCAGCCAGCTCAGGCACGGCTCTCACTCTCCCTTTATCAGTTCTGGCTTTGAAAAGGGACTATAAAATTAGGACCAATTATTCCAACTTCAGGCTCTTTTTTTCTCCCAACTTAAACCCTACATACAGACTTTGGAATATATGAGAATTACACACATTACACAAATCTTTTTTTGCTGTTATTGGATTTTAACAATGGTCTTTTCAAACATTTTGCTTGTTTCACTCACTGCAAATTCTTGATGCTCACACACACTGAGAGATGGGGGTAACACTGAAACTCTTGTGCTATTATTATTATTACTACTACTACTACTTCTTATGTGCTATTGTAGCTTGCTGATGCACACAAAAAAAATGGGTTTGTAGTGATCCAAATACAAAACTGGAGCTGGGAACCACCAAACTAATCCAAACTCTCCCAGCTGATAGTACTCAGCTTCAACTTCACTCTATGAAGTGAGAAAAATGGTTCCTATTTTCTACACACAGTTCTTACAAGGATGCAAGAAGTAATATTGCAAGGCATTAAGGAATTAAAATCATAACTACTATTCTGTGGTGAGATTAATAATGTTTGAAATTAGACACTACAAAGAGGTGGCCTGGCATGAGCTGCACAGGGAAAAGGAAGCAGTTAGCATTCAGCTAATGGCAGAGAGACACTCCCAGTGGCACTGGTAAAAGGGGTATCGGTTGAAAGGGAAACTTGTAAAAACACTAACTGCTCTGCAATGCACCCTGTTGCTGAATGTACAAATAAAGTGTCTATGGAAGACACTTTGCTTTTGCCACAACTCAGAACAACACTGGAATTCATTAAGAGTGTTTTCATGGAGAAAGGCAGACTCTTATGATGGCTTGCAATTTAGCATTTTAATTCCAAAAACATTTTCTCTTATTTGGACTGAAAAAAAAAAATTAAATTATTGTTGTCAGTGAGTCCTAGATTTGCCCCACTGGGACAATTCTGAACTTGCAGGTCTGTACATTACGAAATGAGTCATTACCATGGAAAAGCAGCACACAATTGCAAATGGTACCTTCAAAGTCTCATTGAATACTGGATCCACCGTGCTCTTTTTGACAGCTGTCTTCCTCTTACTCCGAGGAGATTTATCAGGAAGTAAATAAACCTTAACATACCTTGTAGATAGAGAGAAGGATATACAGAAAGTGACCAGAAGGAAAAAAAAAAAAAATAAAAAATCAAACTAAGAAGAATTAATTAGATGAGAGGAGTTTTTTCTTAACTGTTAAACAATTCTATTGACTTTGTAATTTTCCAGGCAATAAAACAGCAAATTGTGATATATACCCTTTGCCAATAAAAGGAGACAGGCTATAAGGATCCCTGTATATCATTCAGCTAATGTGTTTCAATCCTATTCTAACTGGGAAAGGGATTAGGATCTGAATAGGTATCTTTTGTTTTCATACTCTTGGCCTCTAATAAAATAGCCACCAAGGAAGTCACCTTGTCAGTTGTAGCGGCAGCTTTATAATGAAAACACACAGTGTATTATGTGCTCAAAAAAAAAAAAAAATCAACTCCATCAACTTTAGGCTCATTGCTGCTTGTTCATGAAGAAAATATCTGATCTACAACACCAAGTACCATGTAGCAAAAAAAGATATAATCATACAAATAATACACAATAATTCATAACTCTCACAAATGCTAATTGTTATAACAGTCACTGGAGAATCTCCTACTTCCATTCTAAAGTGCTCAAAATTGCCCTAACATTGATTCAATGAAAACCAGTACAAAAAAATTCTGGAAGCTGAGTTGGACCAATATCAAGCACCAATGATTCCTACCCAAAGTTTCTCATGTGTAGGTCCACATGAACATTAATACTTAAACATTCCCCTTAATATGAGTTCAGAGGGCTGTAATTGTGTAATGGCTTCAAAACTAAAGAGTATTGGCAATAGAGAGGGCTTGCTCACAGCTTGGCAGAGAAAAGAGCAATTGTTAACATAAATATTTTTAAACTGTACTTTAACATATTTCAGATATTAGCATTTAAACCACTTTTAAAACAGCCTCTTGATTAACTTACTGGGTAAATAAAATCAGCCATCTCTCATATCATCAGTGCAGAATTTACACATCTTCCCTATTCTTTCCAAACTTACCCATAGGTAAAACTTCTTTTTAAAATATTCAGGTACTAGAAATTTTAGCCTCTTGCTCTATCACCCCAGATCAATTCAATCAAAAAGTTGTCAGTCAGACCTCAAACCAGTCAACAAGCTAAATAATTCAACAGGTTTTAAACATCAGTTAAAAGTCTGCTTTTTGGCAAGTGCATTAAGTGAGTACACTGCCTGTACCTTCTCTATTGGCTTGGAAACCAATAGGAACATATAAATGTACACCGATGGAAAACATAATGTTCACTACACAGCACTTCCTGCATTGCCCTTCAAGCTTCCTGTAACTGTTTGCCTGGCTTAATTACATGGGGACTTAAAGAATCTTGACCACTTCTGAAGTGCTTCCAGACTGCCCTGTTGCATGAGCTGCTGTTCCAGCAAGGCTCCTTTCATCACCACGCTCGTCTTCATGAACATCCTCTGCAAATGTGCAAAAGCCATATTCCTTCTGTGTGACGGTGACTGCAACTCCACAATTCCAATGTGGTCACTCCAGTGCTCGAACATGGTGTGACAGCAGGGGCAAGAACAGGTAGTTAGGTATTCCACCTGGTGATTTTCTATCAATGACTGCTGCACAGTCAGAGAGGATCATTTAGTAATAAACGGACAAATCACCAAAGCTTGACTATCCAACCAAAAATGTCTATGGCATATTTTATCCACAGAAGTAGGCATTTCTTCCTCTTACCTTAATACATAATTATTAAACAGCTTTATATTTTAAAATGAGTTGCAGTATCTGAAATTTCTGTTCTTATTACAGAAGATGGAGGCACAGAAGTAATATAGCAATCACCCTGTGACCCACAGTGAGTCAGGAGATGAGTTAGGAACATGACATCTCATGTTTTAGCCACTTATGTATTAATTTTGCAGGCATAACTTAAAATCTGAACAGCTATTCTCAAGATCCAAAGTGCTCATCAGGAAGACAGACAACCAACTGCCTGGTCACAGGCAGGGAAAAAGACAAGTACTAGGAGAAAATGGTCAGAATGGAATAAGCGCTGGTATGAAACTTATTTGTCTTGTAGTATGTATATGCAAAAAGGGCTGGTATATACATTGGATGTTCTGAAAGTGCTAATATGGCATACCATCATATATAAATCAATTTCAATCACAGCATACATAGGTATCTTAAAACCAGAATATTTTCCGTATTTTTTTTCTGCTTCTCTACAAAATACTTACGGGTTACACTTCCTCTTCTTCTCCTTCTCTTCTCCATAAGCCAGGTTCTTGCATCCCCTGATGCAAACTTCTAAGATACAAGCTTTGAAGATGTACCTTATGGCAAACTCTATTTCTCCCGTGATGTTAGCCTTGCCAAAATTGCCAGACTCAGTGCAAGTGCTGCTAAGACTATACAAACTTCCCTAAGAAAAGACAAATGTTTGGGAAAAGTAGCTTCAGATCAAACAGGACAAAACATTTCTTTCCCTCAAAGGTCAATATCTTTACAAACATGACTGTAGAGCTACTGCAAATCACAGAGATTTAAGGTAGCCTGTATAAAACATTCTGTTGCTTCCAATAACGGCTCTGAAATTTATGACTAATTGCAATTCCACTGTTTTGCCTTTTTCTCTTTGGTAAGCTCTCTAGGCTAAGAAAATGCTTGCTTAGGTAACTTCTAGATCTGGAAATTGTCTCTGAATAAAACAGCTATGTGGCTTCCCATGAGAAAACAGGATTAAGTGTCTGAAAGGAAGAGAGTGAAAAAACCTCTGAAATTTAAGAGCATACGAAACATTGAAATAGGCTGCTTTTAATACATAGCTCATAGTAGGGTACACTGCCAAGATGTTAGGTTCTATCAGGTATTAAAGGAAACCAAAGTGGCCTTGCACATCCAGTAAATATTCTAAAAGATCCCCCGATTCCATGTAAAAATTACATACTCCATACCGCAGCAGGCTGTTCAGGAAAGATTAAAATACAGACATCCAGCTGCCATATGTTGGTGCACAAAGGAGGTGTTTCCTAGCTCACCTCAGCCACTTTGCTCTCCTTTCATCTACTTTCGCCTAATGGGGTAAAGGTTTGGATGCTGTCCATCCACATATATAAACAGCATTTGCATCTAGCATTCACAGAGGCCATGAAACTGCAATGAGAGAAGAGACGGTAATACTTTCTGTGGCCCAGCACAGGCATGTAACTTTATGGTGCTCTCTAGCCTTCACTGTAACAAATTATCAACTCAACCAAAATAGTTTGGCCTCCATTCAGTTAGAGCGATACTCTTTAAGGTGAGCCCTAGAAACTTTTTACATAGCATATGTCACGAAGACAGAACTGTTGCTGTGATTAACCTCACAGCAACACTACCCTAGATTGCTAAGATATCTATGTTAGATCACTCCTCCCTCTGAAAATAAGCACCAACCCTCACAGGACTGGTTAACCAAGGAGTTCTGCATTGCACAACCCACCCGCTGAGCGTGCAGAGTAGTGTTCGTAAGATCTTATCTCTCTTCCATGCAGATGCTCTTTTTCATTTGTGCAGTTTGACAAATATTCAGTTTAAAATTCACAGCAACAGCTGAATTAAAGAAGCTATCTTATAAGCTCTAAGTAACATACAAGCTTGACAAAAGAAAGGTTAGGTGCTTGTTGAGGAAGTCACAGGAAGTGTTAGGACTGTTTTGGCCTGATGCTTGTTGCATGTAATCTTGCTCCCTCCGTGAGACATGTATCAGTGCAACCAACCTCCCTTGCAGCCTTGTTCAGCTCTGCCCTTCCACTCACTGACACATTTTTATTCATCTGACCAGAAAATGCCTATTTTCCACCAAAATCCTTCATGACAAAGGAATGCAAGTAGATTTTTGTCTTAGTTCATATGTCCTAAAAAAACTTCTGCCAAAGTCTCTAATATTTATTCCACAGAACCTCTTATTTATATAGAGAGGCTGGATAGGTATTCTGATTAATGATGTTTGGACTGAATATCACTACATGTGTCTCCCACCTGATCAGGAGTCGCACAGATGCAATGTAGAAATCGCTTATCCTTTTGGCTCAGTGAACAGGGATTTAGCAATGACTTCATATACTGCACCCCTGCTGGCACAACTGGAAGCAATGCCATCTGGTATTTTGGAAGACACATTTTCATGGAGCAGTAATCAACATCCAACACTTACCCGTAAGGGGAAGTTTAATGGAAGTTGACCTTCCCTTTGTAAGACAGTAGAAAATTTTTCACTTTTAAGCCTGGGCTGTCTATAGCCCCGTTCAACCAGTTGTCATTAGAATCACAAACATCATCCAAAATTGTTATCCATTTGTCAGTTTAACACCTCAGACACCACAGTGCAGTAACCTATGAGAGGTGGCCAAGGTCCTTGTGTGTGTTTTTACTCACCTGCAAAGTAAGCAGGCTAGTTTAATTTTGATTCCTTCAAAGCCATTTTAGGTCCCTGATTTACAATACCAGTCATGAATTCTCTGGATACTTCGCCCTGCTTAACCTCATCACTAATACATAGAATTAGCTTCCACAGTTAATCATAGAGTCTTTAAAGCACGTGCTGAATCCATTTATAACTGGCTTCCTTGTCTCTCATTTGCAGTATTCAAAATGCCATCCATCAGAGGATGATTCGATGTCATCCCCTAAAACCTATGAGCTGCTCCCCTGGCTTCCATCACTGTCAGCTTCCTCTTCATTCACTGACATTCTGACATTTGAATTTCCACTGACATTTCCATTACCACAGTTCTTGCAGAATAACAAAACCCTCCAGTTAAATGAAGTTTTAAGAGAAAAAGACAGCTATTAGGTTAGAAAGAACCATGTTCACAATACCAACTCTAATACAAATGGGAAGAATATTAGTTGCATTTTCAAAATTCAGAGGAAGCTGATCTATCAATTATGAATAGGTATATCCATCTATCAATTATCCATTATTAATTTGATTTGGCTTATGCTGCAAAAAGTTCACAGTGTTACTATGAGGACCATGCCAAAAGCAGTCGGTCTTTCATCAGATATGCACTCAAGTAAAATTCCTCCTTCATTTTGTAATATAAACCAGCATACACCAACATTTTGCACAGGATCTTGGCTTTTATATCTGTCCCCATTAGGCTCCTGTTCTGTTGTGCTTCACCCTTCAACTTACGTGTTTTCTGCCATCACAGAAAACTGCATCACTTGTGGGACTAGTTGTTATGTCTTCTTCCTCCTTGCAATTCCTTTTGGTCAGAAATTCACTGTCATTTTGGGCACCGGTGATGAGCTGTTGAAGACTGGGTGTACTTTTAACCTGTAAGAAATTCAGCAAGTAATTTTTTTTTTTTTTAATTTAAGAAAAATGCCCTGATTCCTTTAGGAATTTAGAATAAAATTCAGTAAATAGCTACAATTCACTCTGATCAATCTCACATAGGTGGCACACTTTCAAACACAATGTAGTAACTTAATTTAAATACTGATTGACAACTCTCTCACCCCAGCTAGTAGGACATTCATTACATTAATCATTTTCTAAAATCAACATATCATCACTCATCTAAGGATCACTACCACAGCAATTACTAACAACAGTTTACTAATAACGCACCAAAAGTAGCAATATACTAATAAAAGACCTTATTAGCCTTTAACAAAACAGTAATTTTGCAAAAAAAAAAAAAATCTTGCCTGCAGGAAATTAAAAAAATTAAAAAAACATATTTTGCAATATGTATGACACATGTCCATATCTACCTATGCAAGAATGAATATAGGTTGAAAGAGACTTGAAAATAGAAAAAGACTCACAAGTTCTTATTTAGCTTTGGTTATAGATAAAGTTTAAATTTCTGAGGTGTTCTTGACTTTACTTTGACTAAGTCCGTTCACCTTTCCAATGTTTCCATGAAAACCCTGATAATTTGTGGAAAGTTAAGATATACAGTAGCAAAACTCCCTGAGATTTGCCTTCAGCCACCTCTGTTACCAATAAGAGCAGTTAATAGAATGAAGTGCCAAAAAGACTAATACATAATGGCTAGAAATGTGCTGAAAATAGATTTTAGCTCATTCTGGCACACCACTACCCCTGGATAATACAATCTATTAAAAGTATGCTCACAGCTCAATGGGTAGGAAAAGAGTGAGGTAAGAAATTTTACAGAGTTAGGATCCAAGAAAATAATTGCTTAAAAAAAAAAAAAAAAAAAAAAAAAAGGTATTACAGGGATTACCTGAAAGGCTAGAAAGAATATAATGTGACCGAATCAATGAAAGGATTGGGACTTATTTGCATAGAAGAAACAGATAATATATATTTAATAGACCTGGGAATCCCTCCTGCACCATCAGCAGAAAGCACTAAAGAATGAGGACAACAGAGGAGATAATATATTGAGATTACAGCTGAACAAACAGGATGTGCAAAATCCAAACCAGTATGCTGTTGTTATAACACACAGAAATTTTTATGTGTAATAACTGCCCTACCTTAAGAATGGATGTAAGAATTTATTAAGTTCCCTTGTGAGAAGGAAACAGACAGAAAATGCATTCAGAATATAGTCTCAAAAAAACTCCAAACAAAACAAAACCATAATTTCTCAGCAGAGAAATTGCCTTCTGCTTTATAAAGACCTGAAACCACGAATTTCACTTGCTAACCAAAACAAGCTACTACACACTGAATTTTAGCCACTACTTGGATCAGAAAAAATTCTCTGTTGTGTTAAACAGAATATAAGTGATTGACAAGGCAACGTAAGTACCAGTGCTCAACTTAGCATCAGGTCACATAAGCAAGCCGCCCAGCTAGCCCAGCTCCAATGTCTGCAGCAGCACGCAGCTGCTGTCACAGGAGAGGTAACCCACAGCTACCAACGCACCACAAACAGCTTCCAAAGCTTGCACACGTCTGCTTGTTTCCCCAGTGAGGCAGGTATAATTGCAGTTGCTTTAATGAACTCAGAGGTTCCAATGGTGAGAGGCCCTAGAAAACATTATTCAATTAACTTCCTAAATCCAGATTTTACACTGGCTGGTAGTTCTTGACATTGGAGTGGTTTTTTCACTATAACTGAAGTTAAATGTAATCTCTTTCAACTTTAATCTGAAGGAATTGAGCTCTGAACACGTCACAAATTTGGAAAATGTACTTAAGAAACAGGTAGTGTTCTTGAATCTGAAGTGGTGCCCCAGTCTTATACTCTGCACATTCAAAATTGCGGAGTTACAGCTATTACTTCCCAGTCATTCCTAGGAGAAAAACGCACACTTTCCAGGGGAAAAAAAATACTGTTTCGATTCATTCTCCAAAAATGAAAGTTCTTTCTGGGGTGGAAATCAAAACAAGTAGTATTTCTACATCACTTTTTGTTATAAATTTGAGTAATTAGTTGTTTTGCAAGTGTAATTTAAAACAGGTTCTGTCCCTAAACTTAAGTCATAGTTCTAGCAAGGATGTAAACAGCTGCCCTTATTAAAGGAAAACATAGATGAAATAGAAAAAAAATAAATGGAAGAATAATGCAATAGTACCACTGATAGAGATTAAAAATATTTTTTAAAATCACAGTAAAGGTACCAAAAGCTATCATATAAGCACAGGGAGAGATGCATAAAGTTTCCTTCAATATTAAAAAACCTAAATGGCAAAGATGACATTCACAAGAAAAAAAGGTCAACTAGCAAAACTAAAACTGTAGCTTAAATATAGTCTAACTGGTTTGAATGAAACGAAAGCTTCCTGACTGGGAGAAATAGAGCTCTGACACACAAACAACATCAAAATCTATCTTTCAAAATCTGTAATGCAAAGGGTGGACATAAATTAAGTCCTAAATCTTTAAATGGGCAATTAAAAACCCATACAAATAATTCGGGATCTCCTACTACTACATTTATCAAGCCAAAGAATCCATATCCACCTTTTAAACCTGACGGGCTGTGTGTGATCAGCATGCAAAAGAGCACAGTTCATATTATCTCCAACTCTGATGTTTTTCGATGCATTAAAAGAGCAGTGCTCTGCCAGTGGAATAAAGTAACACTGCAGTGTGGTTTGCCACAATGCAAGCAGCACTTGGGTAGTTAATAATTGTTGCCAATTTTGTTTATAATATAATTGCATACAAAAATACCAGAACTAATTTCACAGAGTTCACAGACCTTGCTGCACCAACTCAAACAGCTAGTCCATGCGGGCTGAACTTCTGTCTCTTCCATTTATCAACACCTAGCGCTTCAGAGGAAAGTGAGAAGCGTGCACCAAGGGAGCTGTGAGTAATATTTGCCATGAGGTCTGGCCCAAAGCAAAAGCTTTTCTCAGCATCTAATTCAGGCACTTAGCAGACCACATTTACCTCATTCAGATGAACAAGGCAATTCAGTAAGTACCCACTATGTGGAAAATTGAGCATAGACAAAGTTCAGTCACTTGCGAGGCGAAAGTGTACAAAACAAAATCTTCAGTGTAACTTTAAAGCAGATATGTGACATCATCTTCAGCCCTGCACAATCTGTGGAAAAACAGATGACTGGATTTTTCTCAAACTTCTCAAGGCAACACTGAAAGCTAGAGACTGTAACCAAAGCAAAAGGAAAAGGGAAGTTGCCCAACAACTAACAGCAGTCAGCATTTTCTGCTTGACAAATTAAAAAGTGCTCAGAGAGTGTCAGGATGGGTTTTGGATGGTGATTGATAGCTTGGTCCTGTTCAGCAGCAAGAGGGGTAGGAGGAGGACAAGAGACAGAGCACTTCCCTGCAGCCCAACAATCACACAGAGCAGACATCAATCAGCCTCAAGAGAGTCTGTGAGCACCTGAGAGCAAAACCACCCATCCTCTCCCTCCCTGTGTGAGGGTTTTTGTAAAATCTCAGCCTAACATTTCAGCTCTGGGCTGAGATCAAGTGTGCAGACTCAGTCAAATCCCTTGTGAAGAATCAGTTCTGGCCACTGTTGGTGAACATCAGCTAAGCCCTGCTCATATAATAAAAGTAAAACTCCACTGTATAAGTCATTATTCTTACAAATATATTCCATTCCTGAAATAGCCCTTACAGTTAGAGACTGCATATAATAATATGAATACCCTGCTTGTAATGTTGATGGCAGTGTCAGACTGGCTCCTTCTTTGCTTCCTTCTTTCCACATTATGCCCATAATCTGTGGTTAGGAGACATCCATCAGCCATATCATTCTGGGACTTCGAGATTTCTGAAATGAAAATAAAGAGAGAAGTCACTATAACAAACATTGCAAGCAATCCTGTAGATTTATAGGCTAATTCTGTAGCTTTCAAACTTTCATCCTGCAATTTTAGTATTGATCTCCTAAGAGTAAGAAACAGATGGGAAGGCAAGTGCTTGTCCCATCTTGTATAATTATATTTTGCCTACCTAAACGTTTCCTGCTGTTTCAACTGGAAATGATACTCCTTGCTTCCTAGCCTTACAGCTGCTGCAAGGGATTGTTGTATGCTATCACACACAGTTTCCTTGCAGAATTAGCTACTCCAGTCCCTACATACAGTTTCACTTATAAAGCAGTTTGCTTTGGTTCAGGATAAAACTGAGATCACTATAACAACATAAAGCAACACAACAATGGAAATTAGAAAGCAGAGCATATTGGAAAATATTTAGAAATTTATCGAAAATATGGATGAAAGGAGAGATATTACATCCTCTGGTCCCAAACCACATACAATTTTGAGAACATGAGAGGCCCTCATTGACTTCAATAACATTACTCATATGGATAAGCTTATGTCCATACTTAAGTACCTTATTGAATTAGCTCGTCAGTAACATCTAGTTTATTGTCAAATAAATCTATAGGACAATTGGACATTTAGTGCACCACTTTTTGCTTCTTGTTCCTCTGGGTACAGTCACAACTTCACTTAAAGGGAAGAGCAGCACTCATCTGTGATTTCTGAAGTTGAAAACCAGGCTTAGCAGCAGACACTTTGTTGTAAATCCCAGATAGTCTCTCATGAAGAATTAATAACTTGTAAGTGGTACATGAAATAGCTATCATATGTTTAATAGATACAGAAGAAATACATATTTCTCTCACAACATAAGCCTCTGTGGAGGAACCTCAGACAGCAGACAATGTGTCATTATGGTATTCAAAAACAATGGCCCTCCTAACTGTGATTTTTAAAGCCACTTTGGGTTAGTTCTTAGCAGCGTTCAGTCCTCAGATGTTTACTGTACTCTGTGTACACCATTAAGGCATCATGTGACATATTCACAGGCAGGCTCAGTTAAGCCATCTCTGACTGTAAATGAAACCGGGTTTTTAAAATACACAGTGAAATCAGAGATCATAAAAGAGACTGGAGTGAGAGATCTAATGGAGTAGATACGATCTGAGTAGCTTGACCAGCAGTAGAAGCAGAAACACAAGCTTGCTTCACACTCTCTTAAAATGAACAGGTTACAGAACAGGTTACTGTGAGAAAAAAATGATTGTTCAGTTTTCATATCTATTCCTCCTTTGGCTTCTCTAACCAAATGGTCAATAAGATGGACACTAGTGCCAAGGGTGATTTTGCACTGCAAATAAAACTACAACCAGCAACTCATTTTACATTCACCAAATGGCAACCATTGGATTATAATCTCCTGTTGCTGCCAAGCCATGCTGGAACAGGAGGTAACAGCATAAAGAGCAGACTGTACAGCAGCAGCATTGTGCTGCACGTGCTAATCCTTTGTTCCCACTGCTCTCAGGCACTCACACACACTGGCTCCAGTGATAGAATCAGTCCCATAACGAGGTTCTCCAGGTTTATTTACTGCAATACACAAGAGCTGGGTGTATTAAATACCTCTGCAAACCAGGACATTTTTATCTAGATAAGATGTAGAGTACTAACTTTAGACACTCATGACCGAAAGCATTTATCAGCACAGTACCAGGTTTCATTAAGAGGCCATATTGTCTGAAAGAGCTGTTTTCTTAAGTCAAGAAGCCCAAGTCTTTCTCTCTATAAGACTTCCTGTACTGTTTAATTATTGACCTCAGTGATTGCAACAGCCTGTTATTTTCTCACAAATTAAAAGGTTCGACCCTAACTGAGGATGATAGCATCTGAGTGGGGTTTCACATACAGCTGGATTAAACTAACAACTTGCTGCCATCCCCCTCTGCAATCGCTCCTCTTCCCTCCTCAGTCCCCAGCTCCTGGCCACATGGCCCAGCACCCTCTCTTGTGCAGGCTCCAACATATATGCCCTACCTTGAGCCTATTTATCTCACTAAACCACCAGAAAAGTACCCATGTGTTTTGTCTGGGTTAATGTTCTGCCCTTTTAATTAGCTAAATCAGTTTCCAGAGAAGACCAGAAACACTGGTGCTAATTCAAGTCAAGCAATGGCAGCATATGGCCAGAAACAGAGAGAGGACAGACATGGGGGAAGTAGGACCTTCCTTTGGGTAGCAGTGGACTGTTAAATAAGCTTGCTGCAGTCCTGACAGTCTTTACCAGCAACCGTGGGATATGACCAGGCTTCAAACCAACAGAAGGCAGAGTAAATCACTTTGCATCCGATTCTGCGCTGCCTCAGCTATCTGCTTCCAGTAACAAAGTATCCTATGCCACCCTACACTATGCTTCTGCTGGGGAGAGACAGCCATTGTGTTTCAGCATACCTTTAATAAGTCTTGCACAGACACAACATTAAATTTGTGTAGTTAAATGAGAACAGGCCTTTAGGATGGGCGGAAGAAGTTAAGAGGAAAGACCAAACAAGAGCTCAGAGAAGAGTTAGGGGGAAAGGCAAAAAGGCACTAAAGTCGAATTTATTCAGGTCTAATCTCACATTTAGGGTTGTCTAAGATGAAGCTAGTAAGAAAACACTAAGTTTCTTTCAAATACATGCAAATCTGCAAGCCCCTGTAATCTTCCTAAGGTTCAGAAGTTGTTTTCCTCTGGTCACTGATGCCTTTAATTTGTTCTTCACAAATGCTGGCTGTCCTCAGTGTAGTTAGTTTTAGAGGCGCGTACACAGTCTGCACCCCAAAGAACAGCAGGCAGCCTGAGTCAATGGAAGGAACCAAAAGTATCAGAATTAAAGAAGAGTTGTTACGACCGTCTGGCTCTTAGAAGTATACACTGAAAAAACCCACATGACTAGACAGACCAAGAAAGAGGAAGGAAGTCCTCTTGAAAACTGCCAGTTAATGAAAATATTAAACTCTACCTCCACTACGTGATAGATGCTTTGACAGGGTCAGCTGGGGTTCAGTCAAATAGATAACACAAAGATCGCTACAGTAGAAAGCGGTTATTATGCTGTGCTAAACGTGAGTTAAATATACTGCATCTGAACTCCCAGTAAACTTAAAAATAGCATTATACAGTCTTTTCACATCTTTACAGGAAAGGCATTCTGGGTTGGTTTCATCAGCTTGTTAATCAACTAGCAGAATGCTGAAGGAGAATTAGACTTACCGTATTATTTTTCAGGTTGGCTCAGTCTTGGCATTAGTCATTTCAGCCATTACTCAATACTCTTTGTTTAGAACTAGTTTTTGGCCAATACTTTGGCAAAAAAATTGAAACATTTGACTACATTACTCTAGAATGACAAAGCAGTGAAAGCTACTTACTTTTGATATGTGTTGTGAGAGACAAAAACAGGTTTTCCACAGATTTATTAAAACTTTTAGACTGTCTGAGTTCCTGCAAACGGGAGATGCCAAGAGTAAGAAAACACAAAATATTTGCTGTTTTAAAGTTACCGTGATCACATATATACAGACCACAAAACATCAGATGGTAAGGCAGCAGCCCTTTGCTCACTTCTGTAGACAAATACATCTGAGGATATACGTTGACATGGTTGAAAACTGTCACACTAATATATGAAAGATGGAAAAAAATATTTTCAGTTCCATACTCTTTGGTGTAAGTGGAACTCCTTGTAGGAAGATCACATAGAAATTGCATAAATACAACTAATGACATCACTGATTTGTTGTAATGTACTTAATACTTTGAGTAGGAAAGTCCTATCTATTACAGATGCTCCTCTGCCTGTGAATCAGTGAGTTTTCATCAGACTCCTGGTAAAGCACATATTAGAATGTTTAGAGAATTGCAACAGGCTTCAAACCCAGGGCCTCAGGACCCAGTCCAAAATGAACTGAAATAGTAATTTAGTGTGATTGCAATGAGTTTTGAGCCATAGCCTACTATTCTGTCCACTAGAAACTGTATTGCAAAAGGCAAACATCAAATTAACTGTTTTTTACTCAGTAATGAAAGTAACACATGGAATGATCACTTTATAAATTACTATTAAATATCATAGGATCATGGGATCCTTGAGGCTGGAGGGGAGCTCAGGAGATCTCAGTCCAGCCTTCCCGTAGTGAGGCACCAAAAACCGGGTGCAGTATTCTAGTGCCAAGAAGAGAGGGTTAATCACTTCCCTCAAAAGCTGAAAACTAACTGAAAACATCCTTCATAATGGAGTCTGATCTTTCTCTCCTACTACCAATGCAGCATAAAAAAAAAAAAAAAAAAAAAAAAAAAAAAAAAAAAAAAAAAGACAAAGGAACGTAAGGCTGCATTTATACCACAATATGATGCTATGGCAGTTGCTATTTACTGCATTTCTGTGGCTGGCCTTTTCATACAAATGACACCCTAAGCGGTGCACATATACATATATTTTGCAGATATGTACATTTACCGTCACGTTGCTTCCTGCTGTGGATTCTGTGAAAGGAGGTGGAGTTGGAGGTACGACAGAAATTTTACTAGAAATTTAAGAGACAACAAACAATGCAACAATTAATATATTATGCTAATAGATGGATAAATAAACCACATTTGTGCACAGACCTAGTTTAGGACAGGCTTCCTAGACTTCTACATGGTTGGCAGTATTACAATCTGTGTCCCAACCGTTAAAACACAATTCCTGTCTAATGCACCCCATCTCTGTTACAGAGATGTTTTCAGAAAGCAGTCATCTTTATTTACAATACTAAAAGGATCCTTTCTTGCCTGGGCCCAGAGCTGTTAGAGCCCCTTTACAGCATTCCAGCCATTTCATCTGTTGTAAATAGCCTAGATCTGGGGAAAAAAAAAAAATCTGTTATCTGACTGAGTCCATTATCATGGCACAATCATGGACCCTAAAGGCAGCCGGTGAACTTCCTTTTTGATTCTCTCTTACTTTTACAACATCGAGGTAAAAGCAAGTCCTTATGCAGCCCTGGTTAGGATCATATCTAGCTGACTGTAAGTTTCTGTCTTATGCAGCTATGCCTCGGCAGGTAATTATCATGAAATTGAGGCCATATCTTTGAATCTTTTTTTTTTTAAAGGAAGAGGGTTTCTTTTATATAATACAGTTTAAGTAGACTGTTATTTCATTATATATCACTTGTAATAATTTAAGTATGATCATGCTTAGACCTCAAGTCAAAGTATTCAATGTAAACTGGATTTTGTACTTGTTTTAAGTTTTGGTAAGCAGATGTGCCTTACTGAATACAGAGCTTCTTGCCTACTGTTTAGTCTAAAGCAATCAAATCAGCAATATCTCCCATTGAGCAAATAATGATGCTATTGCTATTACAACTAGTAAATAATTTTTATCTCTGATCATTTAAAAGTAGTTGTAAATCTGAAAGACAAAGATGTAAACAGGTATGCAAAAAATATAAGCAGATATAACAAAAATTGTGCACGTCCCTTCATTTCAAGTAAATAAGACACTATTAGTCTAAACATGATACTCTTTTGTACTTGGGACCCTTTCTATGGATTGCTGAGAGTTAAAAACGGTAATTTTTCTATGCTTTTACCATTTGTGCTCCCAAAGTATTGAAATTTTTCATAATAAAAAAATACAAACTGCTGATCGGTTTATAATATACAATATATTGCGTATGTAAATTGTCAGTGTCCTAGGACCATTTGTCCTTTTGAGTCTTACCTCAGTTTCTGATAAGATTTCAAGAGCTTTGCACCAACTGTTTCATGTCTGCCTGTGAAGGAGAAAAAAAAAATCCACCCAAAGGTCATTTAGCAGCAACAGCAGTTACTAGCACCTATATAACACTTTTTAAAATCAGTGCCTTTTCGGGAATTGGCCTGTATTTACAGAAGCTCATGCACATGCAAGTCAGGAGTGAAATCAACCCCCACCTGACGTGCCAGCACACATCCTAAGCAACACACAAGCTTCTCCTGCATCACAAACTCTGTCACGATTTCACCTTCACCTCTCACAGGTGACATGTTCAGACCAGCTCTTCACAAATGCTGAGGACAATCTCATACAGATGCTCACAGGCCCATTCCTACAGGTTGCCAAGTGCTCTCAGCCTCCCGAGGGCCAGGAGGCAGGTAGTGCACGGGCCCACTGCGCTAAAGCACCCTTCAACCATAAAACTCAAACACTATGGAAAGCTTGAAAATGTGTACAAGAGTAGGCACATGGTCATCTCTTGCATCTTAGGAAAAATTCTTTTCGCTTTTCCTACCAGAGACCTGAACAATCATGAAAACGCATGACTAGCTCACAAATGTAAACAAAGTCCTTTGCTAAGGCCATCCCTGTGGGGAAATAGCAACCATGTCACGTTCCTCAGGTGAGCAGCCACATGGTGTAAAGAACACCAAGGAGCAAGCACTCCATCAGGCACAAACAATGAAGACTCATAAAAATGTAGTTTACTCCTGAGTGATTGCCAACAGAAAGAAGGCTAAATGCACTCAACAAATGGCCAACTGAAAATATGTGGAGTGGCTTTAGTCACTAATAATTCCTAATGCAGAAAGCTGCATGTGATCTATGCTTTGCTGAAGATGTCATTACTTACAACGTATTACTTACATATAAGTAGCAGACCTTGGTGGTGGCAGAAACAATAATCAACTTACCGATGTTACAAATTTAAATCAGAACTCCAGACTTAACACTCTGTTATTAATAAGTAGTATTTGGTATCTTGATTTATTGCAGCATTAAATGATTCTTAGATTTTTAATTTATTAGTCAGTAAGGCAATCTACCACTTTTATAAAAATATGACTTTTACTCTTTAGGTAGAAGCTACCCAAAAATTAATAGAAAGCATACCAATGTAACTTTTTTCTTTTACACTGCAACATGAGAAAGCTTTACTGTACCATGTATTTTTTCAGTTAAACTTATTTTACAGTGAATGTTTCACTTGTGTCATATTTTCAAACCAAAAGAGGGCACTGTCTCTCCAGGCTTGAAGTATACCTAACTACCACGGCTGCTGTTTCAAAAGTTTGCCATTTTTTAACCCCTTTAATTATATCAGTTGATCTAATCAAAGGAACGAAACAAAACACATTTCTCCCTACAGGCTTATCTTCTGTATATCCTTAGATCTTTGTGACTTCAACAGTATTACTATTAAACTAACTAAGCACAAAATGCTTCAAGCACCCACAAAGCTTTGATAATGCAAGGTGAGAATTCATTTGTTTTACTGAAACAAGGGACAGTCAGTATCTTGCAATATCAGATTCAGTGTCTGAGAACGACATAGCATTTTCCAATAACTGAGACAGCTTGTTAAAATTACTGGCCTTAGACTCGCTGAAAAAAATATGAAGGAAAACTATTAACAATGGTTATGGGATACAACTGTGCTTTGAAAGAGCAGTCAACTAATACTTTGAAATCAGAAATTGTGTTAGATAGAATGGAATTCAGTGAAACCTTTCAAATTTTAAATTAATTCTTTTAGCAGGAACCGTAGTTCCGTTTCTTAACATGCTACCTGCTGTCTTTCACGACTACCTACTACCCAAAATTTGCCTGATTATGTTCTTCCATTTATAAACTTCTTCCTATTCAAGTCTCCCAAGAGATATTTAAGGTCCAATGCTTTCCTTTTTTACCGGCTATTCTCAAATCTAAACACCATGCAGATACTGGAAATGAAACTGTAACATTTAGCTACAGTCAGGCACAAAGCGAAATAGTTGCCTGACGTGGTGTTTCAAGGGAAAGACCTCTCCACCTTATTAGTCATTGTAGGTGAAAACGAAGACTAACAGCCCCTTTGTTGGTGAAACACATTCACCATAGGGCAATCCATCCACATCCTCTATAATTTCTTTTAGGGCTTTGCATTTTTAATTGCACTGAAAAGACTGAACACAAGGCAATGGCACAGCTGGCTGAAAGTAAAGAAACAGCAAGCATTTAGCTCTCTGTTGATTTATAGCTATACATGCTGTTCTTTATTCCATTACGTCTTTTCTTTAAGCTTTAGAACTTTCTCAGTGAAAATAACTGAAGTTTTAACTTTGACAAACAATGGATGCAAGATCATTTCCTTCCTGCACATGTATTTTAACATTTCTATATTTATTTCATGTTATTTTATTTCTTAGAAGCCTTAAATGCTCATTAATTCAAACTGATATGGCCAGCAATTTTCTTATTGTTATTACTCATACAAAATAAATTATACTTTTAAATGCATTCTTCTAGTTTGTGTTCATGCTTTATCTAGTGCATAGACAGATGTATTGCATGACAACTTCTGACAAATCTCTCACCAGGTGGAAGAAACATTAAATACAGTGCCAGACTACATTCTGCATTTCACTTAGATGAGGATGACACATTACACAGTAGTTTATGGTCTGTTCCAAGAGATTACCTTCACCTGGATATTTCTTTGCTCGTTCCTCAAAGAACCATTCACCAGCCTTTACCTTCACATCTCTGAAAAGCAAGCAAAAGACATTTGAATCAACATTTTCCAAAATGCATTTCTTCAAATGTTTGATCACCACTTAACAATCTAACAATCCTTCTTATTCCTACCATAAAACTACGATTTCGTGACTGCTCACTCCATTGACTGATTTTGCTGTGGGTCTGCAAACAAAGGATTCCTCCCCTCCATTTTTTTTTCCTTCTTGCTATGTACGACTGCCCCTGGAAAGCAATACAAACTGCTCGAGGCAGGAGTCCTGGGTCCACTCCAGTCTATACAACCAACTTGCATAACAGTCCTAGGCACTTGTGCTGGCACCGCTGCTTACAGCTGCAGCCTAGGCTGAGGAGCAGGGAAAGTTGGTGATAGAGGATATGCTCCCAAGCAGAACTTGGGATAGCTGCCAGGGAGCACTGAGCTCCACCACCCTGGCAGTGTGATGGCTTCATGGCCCATCCCTCTCCATTTTGTGGAGGCTAATATCAATGATGCCCATGTCATGCACAGGCACCAGGATCACAGGATCAAAAAAGTAATGATTAACAAGTATAAAATGATACCAGACTAAATAGCTATGTCAAGAACAGATTTTCAGCAGATTTGACCCTTGCATTTTGTTGTCTCCAACAGAATTAGAAGTCTACAATCTGAACTCATCCATTATTAAAGAGGCAAAAAATTCGTTAACTGAGGAGAGGATTCTCTAGAGTCTTCAGGTTCCAACTTCTCATCTAAATGTCTTACTAATTTTTAGGGCATATACAATATCTCTGTTCCTTGTGGATTTTCTGATGCTTATTATAGGATGAAGTCCCACTGCAAAAATGTCCTCAGCACAGGCACTGCTAAATGCTAAACTTTTCTTCCCTACCCAGTAGTTCATTTTCCTTGTATGGAATGAATCTCTTTATTACCATTCCCTCTGCCAAGCTTGCTTGAAATTGGCAACAACATACAGACAGTAAATACATGTAGGGCTTGCCTCCTTAAAAAAACAAACTTTCTAAACATGAGAGCTCTACTGATACCCACCAAAGGCCAGGCCACAAAATCCCTGGGTCTGCCATTTCATGCCTCACCTTAGTCTACGTTAAAGTAGACACGCTATAGGTAGGATGTTGTTTGTTCTTTCTGTGGCTTGATTTTAAAGCATTTCAGGCATTTAAAAATATAACCTTTGTAAGCAGCAATGCAGAATATTAAAAAAATTCACTACTTGTGTAGATCGTACCATTTATTTACATGCCTAACCATAGATCCTTGTGCATAACTGAACACAGAGGATTTTGAAAATCAGGTTAAATTAACTTGAGATAGGATACTTATTAACTTTGGATAGAGATCTATTAACTAATAAATGTCTGAAACCTCTGGGTGCACTAGTTCTTCAAGGGCTCTGCATACGTAGTGCCTCGATTTTTATCTCCAGCCTTCCCTTTATATACTTCCCACTACCCATGGTTACGTTCCCAGTTTAATCTCCAGTTCCGCACAGGTTCATGTGATGATTAGACCACTCACAGGATGAAAACAGAGGTAAAAACACCATCTTTAGGTTTTTTGGGGTTGTTTGGTTTTTTTTTTTCTTTTTTTCTTTTAGGCTAAAGAGTGTATTAAGCTAAGCTATGATCAGAAGTGTTACAATGAAACTGATAAAGAACTATCCTTGTCAGGTAAAATAGACTAACCTCCTTCAAAGCAAATGTCTTTCTAGATTCCCAGAAGACAGGATTCCTTTAAAGAACACACTATACCAACTCCATTCACATAAGAGATGCCCCTTCCAGGTGAAAGATACAAACTTTGTCAGTCCACAAGGCTTTTTAAATTTCTTATTTTGTAAACAATGAACATTCACCTATCCCTGCACACTCTTCCACTGAGGTGTTTAAGCATGTTCCTTAGAAACACAATGCTACTGCCTAGGAGAGAATCTCAGTAGTGCTGCTGATAATGGGTTTTTTTTCAGGAAAATACATGCTAGTGGTAACCAAGACTCAAAATTATGGTTGAAAATCAGCTCCTACATTTCTTACTCACCCTATTTTTCTGTCACTGGGGTAAACAAAGGCACTGAGTAGCATTTACAACGCTGCTGCGCTCCCTACCTTTCTTGAGATTTGCAGCCTTGATGTAAAGCTCACTGAAGACAACGGAAGAAGTCTGACTGATTTTAATGGACTTTGCATTGACTAAACAAGATCAAATGTGCTGTCTGTTTGCTATAAAGAGAATTTCAATAACAGCTGAAGAGTTCCTCTATATTAGCAAGAAAAAAAAAAAGTAGTTTCTTCAAGAAAAAGTAAAAGTGTCTTTTAATTCATTTAAGCAATGCTCTCCTGGTTTTACCATTAAATATCTGGACAAGCTTACGAAATAATCAAGGGTGTGCAGCACTATACAAGGCACCTTAACAACTAGCTACTCTCTGCAGGGGATTTCCACTGTGGCCACCAAATAACTGAAACCAATTTAAAAGAAGATGAAGTGGAGGGAGGTATCTAAAGGAAAATATGGAAAGCTAACTTTTTCACCTTTACTTTTAGTACTTACAGCATGAAGCACAAACAGTGAAACATATGCATCAAAACTTAGTAACTGCTTTTTATAAAATATAGATGGAGCTACTCTGCCTCTTTTATGCATAAATTCCAAAATAAACTGAGGATTCAGAGAACATATTTTTAGTGATAGTTTATAGTCTCTTCTAAATTATAGAAAATTACTTCCAAACTAGTAGTAGAAATTCATTTAGCTTAAGACCAATACCTTGCCTTACATTGCTCAGGCATTATTTAAATCTCATTTTGGCATCTTAAGAGGGGGCGAAGTAGTGCATTAATCTTGTGTTGGCATAAAGCAAAATTTCATCCAAATCCTCACCCTTTGTACAGGGATATATACCATCCAGCACAGCTGTTGATTCATTTTCAAAACTATCTTTCTTTGTCTATGTAATATTATTTTTCATCAAAGGTGGAAATATAGCTAAACCATTTGGTTTAGAAAGATTCTGATTAATAGGAGGGACTACGATGGACTATTTTGATATAAGAATTGTACCAATACAGTAAAAGAAATATTGTTTCCTGTTTTCTGGAAAACAAACGCAAGGTGACATAGTTAAAGAAAAAACAACTAATTCAAAGTAAATAAATGTAAATGTGGTCAGAAATCCAAGCAATTCCTGATATTATTAATGCTTTTTAAATTTATATAAAACATGATTTAAAATTATTCACTGATCTATGTTCCTCATTCCTGTAGTATGAGACAAAAAAACTATGACTAGGAAATTGTTGAGAAATTGGCTATACTACACCAAAAGACAACACCTTCAGCAACTTGTTATGATGCACTGGTTCAGTATTGAGTCAGAGGGGAAGGAGTCCTATCTACAGTTCAGAAACTAATGACTCTTCCTATGCTTTGCTGTTATCATCTTTGCCACGCTACCTCTGGCCTACTTTGAGGATCCATTTTGCTAAACACAGGAAGGGAAATCCTGACTACATGACATATAACACAAAATTGCCATCAATTTCATTGCTACCAGGAATTCATCCACCAACTTCGTTCCACCAGAGGCGTTGTTTCATTAATTGTTTAAAGCAACAGATACACACCAAACAAGTGTGCAGACACTGGGTAACCAGTGTAAACCGGCACTTATCCAAACCAGTAAAATTTCTTACCCATGAGCGTAACAAACGGTGCACTTCCAAAGGCAGGGATTCAGGCAGACACGGCATTCAGAGCACACGCGATGACTGCACCCGTTGCATACTGCACCTCTGTTCATCAATAACCCAAGCGATTTCTGACAGCGAGCGCAAGATCTCTCCTGGTATTCATGGCTTACATTTCTTGCCCCTTTCCACCGAAGCTGCTGCAGCTGCAGTTTCAGTTTCCTAACCCCCCCAGGTGAAAAACAAGAATAAAATTAAATAGACCAACCCCCGCCACGTAAGTCATAAACTAATACTCTGGTTGTGCAATATCATAATATTTCATTACTAGTGGGAGATATACCCTCAAATTTGACCTCAGTTGAGCACTGTCGTAAGGCATCTACACACAACATTTTTGCACTGTGACTGTACATGCAACCACAACTGTGAATGCAAACAGAGTAATAGACTAGTATAAATGGGATTCTATTTGTGTCAGATGTGCACGCTCAGGGCAGGGCACTGAAATTGTGTATGCAAGTGATTATGTATTCACGTGCAAAAACTGAGACTAAACGTTGCTCCCTTTCATTTGATGATGTTTTTTATCACATTTATCCAAGAAATAAATCTTCTATCAAGTAAAAATAATCACAACAAATGCATCATCTGAAAGTTAAATAAAAAACACATCAGACCAAAATATCAAAACCTCTCCCTTTCACTGACTTTGCTTCCATTACGTGTACCAGTAATCAAGATCTATTTTTAATTGCTAGCTACATCATCAATAGTTGTCAGGGATTTTCTAACAAATTCAGACTTTCTTTATAACCCTTTACTTACTTTTCACAATCATTTAATACGTCCAGTAATACTTATATACATGTTTGCTGTAAACAAACTTTAAGTTTCTACATTTAAGAGACTAGAATTTTCTAACTTAGCAACAAAGATACCCTGTTTTACATGTGGATGTGACAATTATGACAAAGCACGGTACAAGCTGCAGGAAAATCCTTGCCCTAGCCCTGATATAAAGCAAATAAAATGCTGGAGGACTATCCCTTAACCTTCACGACTGAGATACTTGCACAGCATGAAATAATGAAATAGAATTCTTTTCCTAACTAATGACACCTATTGACACCAGTAATAACCTTTGAGACAGTGTGATGTGCTCGCTACCTGTTGTACATGAGAAGGGACAGTGATGGATTCAGCACAATGAGCACATATCCAATGATTCTTAACTCCAGTCTCGATACAACGTAAGTTAAATAAGCCAACCAAAGATCCAAACATGTTCTGTGTTACCAGGACTATAAAGGCATACATAGGAACATGATGACAAAGCTATAAAGCCTTCATAGAAAAGAATACTGGCAGCAACTGAATTTTCTATGAAGGCTAGAAGTAAAATTCATCATGGAGATTATCCACTGAACAGTATTTGCTCATCTTTACTGTAGAGTAGTCAATAGTACAGTAAGTCTAAGAAGCTCTGTACAACCCTTAGTTTTCCCAAAGAATAAAAAGGCATTAGCTAACAACAATTAAAAAAACAGGAATACACTCAGAAGGACAGCAAAGAGGAAGAAGAGTACATCTGAGAAAAAAGTAACAGAAATGCAGGAATAGGGGAATGGCAGATACCTTATTCTGTCCTCCTCTGTTTTTCTCACCATCTGGTCACGGTACAGGACTTCCAGAACAGCCTCTCGTTCCAATTCCTTAAGGAAGTTTAGATTAAATTCACAGGCCATTTTCCCCAAACTTCACTTATCTTGTAGACTCCTGTCCTATGGTTCTACCACATCCAGAACAATGGATACTATTTTATAGATTGTAATGTGGTCTGAGTGTTTACTAAGTGCCTGTGCTCTTACTGCATTGGTGATACGTTTCACTGTGTCATACCCTTGAAGAGAAAAAATAACCCTGTCTTCACACAAGTCATCATTTAAGTGTCTCTGCTACCTAGGGAATATGAGCAGTTAGCAAGGTCACAGCAGTCTTGTCTTTTTCACATGAGAGGACTTCTTGTTCTTTTCTTTTTTTGCTGAGAGTGGTTCCAAAAGAGATGAGAGCTTGCAGCAAAGTCCCAGATAGAGCTTTGTCACCAGATGGAGGGACAATTCACCAAGAGATGGTATAAAGGAGTGGGGGGAATGACTTTTTTTTTTTATTTGGTCTTGTAGATTTGGGATTTCCAGGTCTAGGAAAAAAAAGAATATATGTTATTATCTCTTCTCCTCACCTCTTCAAGACATTTCAAATAGTATGTGAAGACCTTATTTTGCTATACTCAGATCTTTCACTCACTAATTCAGATAAAGGAGAGGTTTTAAGACTGTCCCATTCTTCAGACAGTCTCACCACTATGCCACCAAGTCCATTAACACTCAGCCATGTACCTTCACATTTTTTGTACAGTCAGCATAAAACAAGCAATAAAGCAGCTTAAGTTAGTTTTGAACACAGGCCTACAGGCCCCATGACTGGAAAAGTCATACCTCTAGAGACAAAAATGCCCCTTTCTAATCTCATCTTACTAAAAAGATAAAACACCACAAGCCTAAGAGGAAAGAGGGAAAGACACCCTCTAAGAATCACTTCTATCAATTACCTATGTCTGTTAAGTCTAACAGCTTAATACCTGATAATGCTACCATCTTTGTTAATACACACAAACACTAAAGAGTTAAGATACACATTATTTCCAGCTCAGTGAACTAACAATTTTGGCCCCCAGCTGATGATGTTAATGTAAAAATAAATGAAAAGTATAAAATTAAAACAGAATCACAACTGTATTTTGGATATATTCTGTGACCTTCACTTTTGTAAAACTCCCATTAAAATAGAAGATAATTTTAATATACTTTGCAGCAAAGTAGAGAAAGTGATTATTCAATCTAATTCAGCTTACACACTATATTAAGTTTTAATACTACTGTCCAGTGTGTATTAGAAGAAATGTAAGAGAGTTCCACTTATGGTACACCAAATATTAAAGATGTGTATAAGAAAACTGATTAAGTGTTTCAAACTTTATCTGAACTAAATGCATACAGTCAGGAGGTAGGCACAAGGTCTACGCACTAGGACAGAAGGGTAAAGCTTTCCCAGAGCAGTTACTGATGCCTCACTGATGGACCTCAGCTGAGTATCTGACCAACTATCTGCATTGCTGGATCATTATTTGAAAATACTGTGAGTTTTAAGTCAAAAAAAAAAAAACCACCAACAAAACTTCAGATATAGCGTGACAATGTATTTTTGTCGGTGCAGGAATTACTTTACATAGAGCTTGCCCCAGTTAAGCTACTTAATTTCACACAGAAAAAGCAGAAGGTGATAATTTGTATTTATAAACAGTATGCATTCGATTCTTTCATATTCTTTTGTGAAGCCCTTCAACAGACACCAAAAGGACAAAGCATTTCACAGAAGCAGTGTTAACAAAGGAAAAAAAAAAAAGATTGGTTTCCTGTGGAAACAAAAGAGACAGAGATAGGCATAATCGTATTTTATTTCCTTAACAACTGCAATTTCACAGGAAATTACTCAGTTGAAACCTAAAAAGCCCGAGCAATTTTTTTAACACAATTTATGTCATTTTCAAAGGCCTCTGCATCCTTCACCTGCTTTCATCTTTTACCTCAAGAATACCTCCGAGGATTGATGAGCATATTTAGAGCCTTCAACTCCATTTAAGTAAATACAATCTGCAAGAGCAGTCAGTACAAACTCAGGGACCTCTGCACTATACAGGATACAAAACACCCATTATAGTGTAAGCTGCATTTTCTGTAAATTCCTAGGATCTCTACAACAACATCAGAAAACTTTTTTTTTCTGCTGAAGCATCAGTAAAACCTACAAAATTCATGATATTAATTATTAGGTGGATCCAATAAAACCGCTCTAGTGATCTTAAAGAAAATATACAGCTCTTACAGAGCTATTAAGAACGTGCCACTGTAAAATAGTTACTAAGAGCAACATCTGCAGTTAAGCAAGCACAGAAATAGTTGCTATTTGATAACTCCTTCAAATTCTTTAAAAAAGGACTACCTCCCTTCTTCACAGAAGAGCACAAAGTTTTCCATATTTCAAGCCTGTTTTAGGAAATGAGTTTCAGATAACATCTTACTGTATGAAAAATATTGAGGGCATACAGAATCTTATTTAGAGAGGCATATAAATTTTTAAAACATTATGTTTTCAGCTATTCAAGCTTGCACAAATTTACATGGTGTGAGGGAAGGAACAGCTTAGAGCCTTCCCTTGTTTCCACTTTGTCTTGCTCACAGCTGTTCCCCCCGGGGGAGACCTGAGTTTCACCCTTGCCAGGGAAGGATTCTTCAGAAGGGCATTCGACATCAGCCTGTCAGTGATACTGCAAACAGCATCATCAAAACCAATTGGTCTATTGCTCCACTTCATACCCTATTCACAGTGATAAATCATAAGCACCGAGTCTAATGCCAGCAGTAGACTGTCAACAAGGACTAGGATGGAAAGACTAGGATCACCTTCTGGCACCAAACAACAGAACAAACTTACTGCAGAGCGAAGTGCCAGCACCTCACATCCTACAGCATCCGCACTATTGCAGAGAGGGAAAAAGCCACTGTGGCGCTCTCACCGCTGGGCAAGATCACAGAATCATAGAAGGGTTTGGGTAAGATCATCACACACTGCAGAGAATAAAAAAAGCTTAAAATACATCATACGGCCAACAGCTCTACCAATATTGCACCTGGACATTCCTACAGTTGTGGGGTTTTTTTAATCTTCATGAAGATTTAAACTCAGACAACGGTTGTGCTCTGTCAATTTTTCTTGCTCATTCAAAGATAACTCAAAATCTATCTTAATGATGAGGTAACTTTAAGAAAAAAAAACCTACTATAACCCCCCGAACGGGGGATAACCCTTGTGCTCCACAAACAGACTTGCACTTATAATCGTTTCACAGAAGTGTTGAAATTGGACTGAAAAGCTCTCTACTTTCCTAAGAGAAAAATGACCTTTTCTAACACCAAAGCTGTCTGCATTATATTAGGTTTTTTGCAGTAATAAAGAAGTTGTGTTTTCAGTAATGACGGTCCCTGACAGGAAAACACAATCTTAAAAACCTTCACAGATGCCCTCCTTTTGCATTTACCCACCAAATCCAGCTAGCTAGCTGGTTTACACCATCAGTTAACCTCAAAGCCAAGCACCTTCTGTGTAAAACCAAAAGCAACAGCAACCTCTTTTGTAAATACCATGGCGTTCCTCCCTTTTCAGCACAAAGCTCACATAAAATATTTTGTTCGAGCATTATTTTAAATTACGTATTTAAAATAATCCAGCGTCAGGCACCTTGCAGATGGATCAGTAGCTATCATGTGAAGTCTCAAAGTCACCGTAAAGGAGATGGGACGACCAACATGGTCATGTCTTAGGAGAGGGAGGGACACGCACACAGTGCAATCCCAGCAGACCATGCTTTTTTCTTTTATATCAGGCTAAAATAGTATGTAGTTACATACCTGAAGAGCAATCAAAAGGCCTACCTAGGACAAGAGTAAGTAGGTAGCTTATTTTTTTTAAGTTTTTCAGCTTAGAAATGCCTGACTTAGCAAGTTACTTTTTCTCAAGGTAATTTCGCATGTAATATATTATTGATCTCTTTTCAGATCCTGAAGCATTAGCTAAATACTGACAACTAAGTAATTAAAATAAACTGGTCTTCTGAAGTCACAGCCTTCATTGACTCAAGATAATTGGATTACTTCATCCACTAACCCAGAAGATGGATGTAATGCATCAGTAGCTAGGACACAGATTAAGGGGGTATCACAAAAGCTCCTGGAATTTATGGCTATTTTCTATTCTGCAGAGGCCAATCACATAAAGATATTCTTAGTTAAGAAAATTACAAGTGTTACTACCCGGCTGCAACAGTTTTATTATCACACCCTTGCATACACACATGCAAATTATTTATAACTTCTTTGATAATGTTTTACCAATGTCTTGTGATTTTAATAACGTCCTACCCCAGCTCTTAAAGTAAAAAAAAAAAACCAAAACAAAACCCAAAGACAAACCACCACAAACACAAACACTTTTTTAAGTTCCAGTTGTGGTCTTTTCATGAAATCTTTGCAGTCTAAAAACCACCATCCCAGTAAGTAAAAACGCATACCCCTGTGCAATGTCATATAAAACAGATTAAAAAGATGTCCTTACCTTTTCAGCAGCTATCAAAGAAAGATGCGTGGAAGTAAACTGCTTTTAAGAGATGAGTAGCGCTCTTATTTATTTATCTTTCCTTAAAGAAAACTGGTGGCTGTTCTCCACCCCCTTTCCTTCCTTTGGGCACCGAAATTAGACTGACGTATGTACAGAGGAGCATCCCCAAAACAGTTAAAAGCAAATGCACTCAACGAAAAGCTCTAGTGTTGCAACAGCTTTTGCCAAGTCTCTGATTTTGTTACCAGCAACAGCAACTAGCCATCAAAGAGAAGCTACTCATTTTTCTAACATTAAAAAGAGACTCAGTGCAAGAGACTATAAAAGCTGACTGATATCATCAAAATATGCTCAGTCTTCAAGCCGCACACAGGAAGAGAAGTAGCTTTGAGTTCTACATAATTTCTTTTTCTGATACTACAGATGTGAAAATACTACTAACCTCAATGTCCCCAAGACTCACACAGAAAGCACCACTTCTACCGTAAACAGTTACTTCCTGGAAACAAAGTAGTTTTCTGTTCAGATCTGAATGACAAAGCAATTAGCATAAATAAAAGTTCAAAAGAATCAATTTTTTATGCATCTGCAAAAGCAGAAAGTTATTTTACCTCACAACCGGTAAATCTGATGTCAGATGAAGATTAAAAGTTAAAGCATTATTCGGACTGGATATGCCAGTTCAGTCTGTTACAGAACCAAGTAACAGTAATGAAGTTCAAAATTGCATCCAAATTGCTTCAAATTCTGAAGAAGAAGAGGGCCTGTTCTTGCAGGTTGATCTCCTTGTTCCTGCTTCTACCAGGTATGCTGTATGTACAATGCAGAAACCCTTCTTAGTGTTGTGGGTGTTTTAAGAAATACTACTTTTAGTTAAAAATAAACAAAGCACTGCAATGCTATTCACATGGCAAAATTAAATAGCCTGCAATTTTATAAACTCATTAAATTCAATAGGTTCAAACACTTCCACCTGTGCATGTCAAGTTCAATCACCTTCTTCAACCATATCACTGAAAGCAACTGTTAGCAGGGCACAGAGCTAAGCCCAACAAAGAGTATTTGGGCCTTCACTTCAGGCAAAGTTTTAACTAAATGAAAGACCAGAAATAACTGGAGGATCATAGCTACCCGCAGCAACATATTTGTAGTATCACAAAGCCAGGCCAGGGAAAGTTAGCCAGCTTTCCCCTAATATTTAACCAAAGCCTTAATTGCCACACCTCATTATATTTTTCTGCTCTCACCGCTGGACATGGAAAACTGCTGCAGTATTTTACATGTGCTAAGAATGTAACCAAGCTACAACCTTTTATTCTTTTGGATAAACAAGCACTGCTTGTTCAGCCTTACCATGGTTCTCACTTTGTTGTCTCTGCTTTCTGCTCGGTGGGAGCAGCAAGCGCAGAGCTCCAAGGAGAGGGGCCGAGGGCGAGCTCAGCAGCCTGCTGCAGTCCCACGGTACCCCATCGGGGCAGGCAGAGCGGGTGCTGCCCGCAGGGTGCCCACACAGGGTCATCGTCTTCAGGAGAGGCAGGAGGCAGGGCCAGGCACAGGACCAAAGACAAGATCAACATGTAGGGCCGAGGTCCACCAAAGAAATGGGCCTGGAGCAGAGGGCACAGGGGTGGAGGCCACAGCTGAGGCTGATCAGGGCAGCTGAGGGGGACCTAAGGCTGTAACTCACTCCTGACCTTGAAATGCAATGCCTAAAACTGGACACGGTATTGCCTGTGAGGCCTTACTGCGCGGAGTGCAACAGAAACGCTGCTTCCCACATCCTGCAAACTATACGTCCATTTACATGTCCCAGTATAGCATCTCCTTTTTTCAACAGCAGCATGGTATGACAGACTGAGGTACATCACACCTAACACACTCCCCTACTCCCTTGCCTATGGAACGGCTTCCGAGTGAGCTGGTCCTGCCCTGCCCGCGTTTACGGAGCTGGCTATTCCTGCCTCCGCAAAGGCCTTGGCGCTTGCCCCCAGTAAGTCGTTTTCTCCTTCGTCCAGACTGTTTCCCCAGTTCATCCAGGCCGCTCTGAACCTGAACAGCACCTTCCACTGTTTACCTCGCCTCTCCGAGGTTGGTATCATCACTAATTTGATTGATCTGTAAACACTGCACACACATACAAAAATCCCTAAAGCGGGAAAAGCGTGCCCTTTAATTTCATCGTTCTGATTCTGGCTGCTAAAAATCATGGGCTCTGCTTAGAACTGTAAGAATTCACGTATTCTTCACGTCACGTTTCCACGTTTTTGCCTTCCCAGTTCCTGGGCATACATGACATACCCAGGCCGCCTTCGCAAGCTCTCTTTCCAGAAACAAGCTGCAGATCCGCCTCCCCGGGGAGGACCGCTAGGATCCACCTCTCCGCCGGCACGCCCACCGAGCGCCGCCGCCACGCTGCGCGGTGTGACGAGCACGGCCAT